AGAGTTTGCTCCTACCACGACTCAGATCATGGCGAGTCCTCATGAAAATCAAAACCTGAGCTCCCGGGCGGTTGGCCATAGCTCACTCCATGGCAAGCGCTTGCTTGCTGAAAGCTCTTTGAAAGGGCTCGCTTTTTTCACGTGGCGCGTCTTTCTTGGGATGGTGGCATTGGTAGAACCCCTGAGCTTGCTATGTGCTATGCATTTTTTGGGCATTTGGCTCCTGCTTTTGAGGCTACCTTGTCGAATTGGTTTGAAGGGAACAGGAAAACGTTTAACATTTTCAGGGTCCCCTATGTTGAGTCACGCACCCACGCCTCTCGGAGTCGCGGCAGGAGTCGGATGCGACCCCTTCGCAAAAAGGTTCCAGCGGGTTTGGGCCACATGGCAACAACGGAGGGCTGTCTCACGTGATCCACTCTCTCTCTCTCTCTCTCTCGCTCTCTCCCTCGCTCTCTCTTGCTCGCTCTCTCTCTCTCCCTCTCTCTGTTGACTTTGTTTCAGCTACGTTTGTTTCTCTGTTCTCATCGTTTCTTGTCGCATTGCTCTCTCTCTCTCTCTCTCTTTCTGAATTTGTTGCTTTTCCTGTAAAGAATCCCCTAACTGGGCTTCCGCCTTCCGAAAAATGGTTGGGGTCCCCTTTAGGGTCACAACCCTTCCATTGCGTCTCAGGATGGCCAACCTGAACCTGGTTCACCAGCTGAAACTCGCCAGTCCTCGGCTTGCCATGGACTCGCCAAGCACCTGAATCCTTGAGCAGATTCCCCAGTGCTTACAGTTTACTGCAGTCAACCAGGGGTTCCCCATAAAACCAAAAGTGACCTGCCTTTTCGCCGAATCAGCGCTGGGTCGGCCTTCATGTCCCGGGAAACTTGTTGCTTGCAGCTGTGCAAACCTAACAAGTAAGTCCAAGCGGAACTCATGGAGAGAGTCCACCAATCGAGCTCCGACAACTTCAGGTATCCAACGACATGACGTTCATCGCCGCGCCATGAGCCCTGGACACACCTCTGCGCAAGCGGTAGAGGTATGCGGAGCCTGGCGATGGGAACTGGCGGCTCAAAAACAGGACTCGGCCCAAAAATGGAACACTGGTGAATGGACATCTTCGACTAAAACCTGTCCCCCGGAAGACATTTTAGACTACACTTGAGCCACATGGCCAATAGGGTGAGGCCCCCTTCAGGGCCGAGGCGTGACAACTTGCAAGCCTCTGTTTGGGAAAACGCCCATTGCAGCTGGTGTGTCAGCCAATGCTTGGCCAACATCACAAGACCTACCTCCCCTTTCCATCAGTTGGCGGGTTTTGCTGGGCTGTCCCTATCTCTTCCCACGGCCTGAACTTGAGGACATGCCGTGCCTTAGCTCGGTGTCAGAATGAGTGATGCCATCTTGTGTCTGTCTGGACCCTCAAACTTGACAATTGGAATATCGGCCCCAAGTCTTCTGCCTGATTTCCATATTGGTTTACGATGGTTTATTCAGGCAACTCCGCATCTGTAAATACCAATTTCTCTGATCACATTTGAGCCTTGACCCTCCACAAAATTGACTTCAAAGAGGCCAGTCCGGCAGGCAGCCCGCCAACTAGCCCAGTGAGGTGTTCAGATCTGCACTGACTAGGTGCGACTTTTGGGACTGAAGAAAGATGTGTAAAACATGGCCAGGGTCAACTGTTCCGGCGTGCGGAGTTCTCTCCAAACATGCTCCAAGTATTCAATCCTGGGCAGGCAAATTACGCCAATTTCCAAGACGGACATCCAGGCGAGTCCAGAGCGCCAGTTTTCCTGCCTGTCGTCGCTAAGAGGTCGCAGCCATCCGTCGTCAGACCCCAGCCTCAGTGAATCTTGCAGGGCTTCCTTCTTTTTTTCATGGGATCTGGATCTGGAGTGGATGATTTTCGATAGGACTCGGCCAAGCCAAGGTGTGATTACCTGGTGCTCCTTGCGCTTCAACTTGAGTTCTGATCCGCGCTCGCTCACAATCGGGCGTCGAATCGAATCGAATTTAGGACGACATATGCTTGCGGAAACCCCACTTGGCTCCTTGAACAGGGATCCTTACATCATACACCTGAACATTGCAACTTGTAAATGATGGGCTCCCTTTAGTTTGGTGGAAAAAGCCATGTTTCACATGGGCAAAATGTATCTGTTAAGGAGCCCTGTTGAAACAAAAGCCTGCATACATTCCAAAACCTGCCTTCCAACATGGCAAACACCCTTGGGAAGACTTGTGTGTTTGGTCATGTGGTTAGCAACGGTTCGGAGATAAGCCACTTATAAGTCCCCCATTCAGTGGGCTTGACCTTGTTCTTAGGGGGTCAAAGCACCCAAGTGGCTAACCACTGACGCTCAATTTGGCAAATCGAAGATCCAAGTGGTTCTCCTGGAACTTCCATGTCACAAGAAAAATATGCCCAGTCAACAATATTTCTATCCTATCGGGTTCTTCTCCTTCGTATACCCACTCTTCCTTCCTGTTCACTCTCTATCCATCATATCAGTCTTTATTATTTCCGGAGTCTGGGCGTATTTTCCGGCTTCGCCTTGAGGCGCCGACCCTCGCCGTACCTGACCCGGGCACCTTCCTGGACCCTCAAAGCCTGAAACAGGAGCTCACGACTGGGTCCCCAGTGAACATCCGATTCAATCCCCGCGAAAATCGACTAAAATGGGTGGTGCACCTACCCCAAAATGAAACCATTGGTTTTGACCCACAGCCAGATTTGTGCCCATCCCAATATCTTTGAGCAATCTCCCACATTGAAGGCGTTTTTTCAAGCTTCCCTGAGTTGCCCATGCCACGTGGGTTGCCTCTGAATCCAAAAACCTGCGCCGCTGGATGCCCAGCCGTAGCTTCACCCCATATGAAAAGGAACTGATGTCGGAACCCCCCATCAACAACGCTCCCTCGACCCAAACTCGCTTAACATCGGATATATCCCACAACAAACCGTGCCCGTGGATTAATTGATGGTTCAGGAAAATCTAGTTCGGGCTAGAAACACAACGGCAGGGCATTCTCGAGGGAAAAAGATCAGACTACACCCCAGGTCCGATCGAACATCTGTTTTGATCGAATTCTGTCGACCTATCTGGGCCGACTTTCCCGGATTTCTCTGACAAAAAGAGGGGCATCCTTTTTGGTTGAGTTTAAAGGGGATCTGGGCCACCGAGGTTCTCTCTCCACTCATGATGCATCCGAACCAAAACCAAAACCAGCGCCGCTGCGCCGAGTTTGCTTCTCTCTCCGCCGAACCAAAGCCAAAACCGGTGGAGCACGGGAAGGAATGGGTGCGGATGAAGGTAAAGGTCTTGGAGTTGTACTCCAGCATCTGCACAGGAGTCACAGGACAGAAGGGCTCTCTGTGGCGCTCTCTTGTTCTGCACTTGGTCTGCAAGTCAAGAGAAAAGTGGCCAACGCACACACCGTCAACCGAATCTTTTCTTGGGCTCAACCTCAACCCTTTGGCCTGGCACTTACGAGCAAAAGGGCGAAAAACATGACTTCAGGGATCTAAAGTGACCCCACCTCGTCCGCAGATCCCTGGGACCAAGGAAAGAACACCTCAAGTTCAAAGAATTCCTAGCAACCCGGGAAACAAAAAGGGGTGTGGCTCGCAACCTTCGCAGCTGGGGCCAATCCGATCCGCAGGCTTCTGTTCTTTGTGTCCAAACAGCCAAGCTGCCATGTTACCCTCCAAAAACAAACACGGAAGTGTATAAACCCCCTCTCCAAAAAGAAAGCTTTCGTCTGTCTATCTACTTTAGTAGGGGCTCCCAAAAAGGGTGAAAGGGCACTACTGGGGGACCTAGCAGGGGTCTGTGCAATTCCATGTTTGTCGCTGGGAGGGTACATGTTTGAGCCACAGACCACTCATTCACAAGCCATGGAGCTTTCGAGGACTTGGGGCGCCCCCTTTCTGGTGTATGTCCTCACTTCCTGAGTTGATTGGCTCCAAACTTGTTGTTTACCACTAATAGACTAAGATGGTCCAAGCCCCAAAGTCCAGCAACTCAGGGAGTGAGTTTCCCGGAAAGCATCGAAGGACTGTGTCGTTTCTCGAGGCTCGGCACCCTTTCGGATGGCTTCAAAGGGAAACCCGAAGGACACCGAAAACCCTCTTCTCCTCCTTCTTGTCTTTCTTTTTGGGGGGGGGGTCCTCCAAAGAGGGACGCACGGAAATAGAAAGTCCAACTTGGGAGGTGGCATGCCATCGTTGTCCCCTCTTTGGACCGAACGAGCCCCATCCAGTCCAAAGCGAGTCTCCGAGGGACACTTTTGGCGAAGCAAAAGGACGGGCCACAAAAACCCATCGACTCTCTTGGATATGCCAAGCTGGTGAAGGTTTAGATAGGCCTTACTGCAACCGTTACACCAGTAGAACCTGCTAGAATGCAGGGCATCGCTGGGCACCGAATGCTGACCCCGGAGCAATAACTGCGCGTGTCACATGTCTATGGTCTATGAACTTCTTGTGCCACAATATGCCTTACGCGTGCAGATGTATATGGGGGTGGGGTTACGCAAGTGTTGGTCTTTGGTTCCATTTACCCGGGTGCCATTTTGTGGATTCCCATTTTTTGAACCGCAGCCGTAGCCATATGAAAATATACCACCTTTTATTGGATTCTGAGAGTTCTCGCATTTTCTGGTAACGCCTCAACCTCTCCGGCGTAAAACATCGTAAAACTCTTGGTGTTTCTGGGCTGCCCTCAGACCCCCTTCTCAAAGTGACTCAATTTTAGTGGCTCAAATGGAAACTACCACTACTAGGTCCTCCAGTCGAGAGGTTAGAATAAGGGTACCCTTTTTGCTGCAGTCTATTTTAGTAGGGGAACCCCCCAAAAAGGGTAAAAGGGCACTATGGGGGACCTAGACTAAACACTACAAGGCGAAGCAACCGGATGGCTGGGAGCCGCCAAGTTCTTTCCATGGCCTGGCGGTGCTGGTAGGTGAGCACCTGGCATGTCTGCGATGCTTTCCGGAAGGCGCGCCTAGACCTGCCCCGGACATGGCGGAGAAATCATCCGGCAAATTCGGGGGGCAAGATCCCCATATTTCTAGGGACGTTTGCGGGTGCAGGTCTGCTTTTCTTGTTTGTCTTTTTTGTTTTCCTGGTGACTATGTTGGAGGGTGTCCTTTTTCAGGTTGGTTTACAAAGGATGCCTTTGAGGGAAGCCTCCCACATTTCGGGGCCGCCAAATTTTGACACACGGCCGGGTTCCATGAACTGAGTGGCAGGATCTCCACCAGAAGAACGGATTGTGTCCTTCTAAAAGAACAACAAAACAGATTAATAAAAACTCTGTTCAAGATCAGCTCCAAAGAGCTTGGTATTTCCCAAGGACCTCTGGACATTTCTCGTCAGGGATGTCAAAGGAGTCACATTGCTTCGCTTCTGGCGAAGATCTCACGAGTGTTGTTTGGTCCTTTGAAAGTGAAACTCAACCCCGCTCCAGAGAAAACAAGCACAAGACCAAGTGGGAACAAGAAGCAAAGCACCAAAAAGCCCTGAGTCTAATGATCTAGTCAACATATGTTTCGTTCAACACCCCTGGCCCATGTCCGAGAATATCAGATGCCTCATTAGTCTACTGCGGGTGTTCGTTGCCAATCTAGTGAGTTGTTGGCAACCTACTCGGTTCAGTTGGCATCACCTAAGCCTAGACACAAAAAAAAGAGGAAGTGGCTAAGCCCTTAACTTGGGGTTCAGTTGGGTTCACCCAAGCTTAAAAAAAAAAAAAGAGGAGGTGGCCAGCCCCCCTGGCAAGGAGCATCCAAGCACCCCAAGAACGAAAACCCCCTGGGCCAGGCCGGATCCGAACTCCCGAAGCGGCGGGCTCGCCAGCAGGGACTCGCCGTGGAGCACCGCGCCCTCCCCAAAGTACTTGGCCTCGAGACCCACCTGAGCCACGCCAAACCGAGTGCTACATGGAAAAAAATGGGCCCCAAAACACATGCCAAGAGCTGGCGCAAATCCGCACCTATGGTTGGGAGTGCCCCACCCTTCGCTTCCCCGGGCTTTGAAAAGTGCAAGTGGCTCTGAGCTCTGCTCTGATCTTGGTTCCCGACTCGTGGCGCTCTCATTATTTCTTTGAGGGTATACCCACAAGAAACCAGAGAAGCACGGCTACCCACTAGACCCATCTGGATTAGGGCTAGATTTGGTTCCGATGGATGAGGGGGGTAGTTTCCCATCCCACAAGAACCTCAACTGCCTCTCCATCGGCGGGTCACTGACCTGACGTACCCCGCTGCTTTAAGTTGATGTACCCCGCGAAACCCAGAAAGAATACCCACCCCTACTAATAACCTGGAGTTGAGTCAACATTACTTGGCCCAAGAAAAGCCTAGACACTCCAGTTCAGGGCTGTGGGAAACTGTGATGTAAGAAGGTCAAGCCCCAAAGACTAACCCCCTAATAAGGGGGAGATTCCCGAAGATATCACAGAACTGGGCTGTCCTCAGATCTTCCAAAAGTTTAACTTTTAGTTGGTCAAACGGACCCCCTCACTAAACCAACTAAAAGTCCAGATGGCCGGGAGCCACCATGAGAAGTGGTTGGAGAAACCCCGAGCGAACCACTACCCTGGGTCCAGTCTCCCCCATGTCAACTAGGTCCTCCAGATTCGAGAGGTTAGAATCAATTGGTACCAACTTCTTCTTTTAGTCTATTCAGCAGGGTTGAACCCTCCCAACCAAAAAAGAAAGGGTAACAGTCTAGGGGTACCTTCCATTTCCATTCTTTCCAGGGATCCCTTCTGGAAAACCTCCGGAAAAAACCATGCTTGTTCAAAAAGAAGGGGCTTGGAATCAACCCCTACAACCAAAAACAAACTGGGCACTGGGGCACCCAGTCAGCGCCTCCGGTGTCGACCCGCAGCCCCGGCCTGCTGCTTGGTGGCGCCGCTCCGCAGGTCGTAACGCCGGACGTAGCTCCGCCCCGTCAGGCCGCAGGACTCGAAGACCTGACGAGAGCGGCGGCGGAGCGGCGGACACGGCGGCGGAAACGGAGACTCGGAGGCGGAGCTGGGGTAGGGGTTCGGGGAAAACTCGGAGTCCCCGGTGTTGTTTTCACAACACCTATTTTCTTTTCTTTCTTTTCGGGGGGTTCCTTGGAAGTGTTGGTGTTTTTTCTATTTTTGTGTTTTTTTTTGGGGGGGTCCTGGGAAGTTTTGCTGGGGTGTTGTTTGGGCTTCCCAGGTGAGGCTTGTGGTTCCTTGGTGGTTTTCTGGGTTCGAGCTTCCCTGACTTTCCTTGGGTTTCCCCGAGAAAGCCCCATGGAGTCTTTGGTCCAATGGATGGCAGGTGGCATTGGGCCGTGAAATTGGTTCTAAGCCTTCTGGAGATCCAGACCCGTTGAATGGAGGGTCCAGTGATGGGGAGGAAAACCGCGGTCGTACTGGCAGCCACATGGACCAAATCCAGGGGCACCACTTGGAATTGGTGGCTTATCAACAAGTTTTCCTCAGCTTCCACCCAGAGAGGGCTGCCTTTTCTGTCTGGAACCCTCCTTTTGAACGCCTCCCTGAATGCCCCAAACCCCTTATCGTTGCCGATGTCTGGGATGGACCCCACAGCTTCCAGCTCTTCCAGCTGGGTTCGGTGGAGTGGTCCCTGTGACCTAAACCACAAAAAAGGATGCCAATGGCTTCAAGCGGCAAGCACATGGTTATGTGCTCATGGGAAACCTGCAACTTTGGATTCAAAATTACCCGTTGGATGCCAGACTTGTCGAAAGTGAAATCCCAGCGAAATGAAATCCGAATAGGCAAATGGCCATGGTTCAAAATATCGCACCCCTAGTGAACATCCCAATCCCCACTAAAATCGACTAAAATGGGTGGTGCACCTACCCCAAAATGGTACTATTGGTTTTGACCCACAGCCAAATGAGCTGAGAAGCATGATTACTTCCAAAGATCAAGCAAGCACAGGTCGCATCTCCGCCAAGAGCGCGCCCCCCCCCCCGTTCAAACTATTAAAACAGGCCCTCGCCTCTCGCTTCCTGATTGGATTGGCCAACAATGTCAATCCGTCTTTGTTTGTCTGTCACAACCATCTTTCTTCTCACTGGCATACACAGAAAACATGCTTGCCAGATACCGCTCCATCTTGCGAGAACCCAAAACATAGCATCGGTGTAAACTTGGTGGTTTGGTGGCGTGTGCCAAGACCGCATTTGGAATCTCAAACGGTGCTGGGGATCCAATGCCCAAACCACCAATCAAAACCTGAACGGTCTCAAAATGCTACAAGTCCAGGGCCGAGATTTTGGGTTGTGGGCGCCTCCGGATCGGTGCCGTTCACCGAGAGGCCCTCGGTGAAGCAGTCGGTCCTGTGCGGATACCTCGCAGGTCACATGGCCCCCACTCAGTGCTTTTCAAGAAGTAAGCACTCCACTACAGTGACGCCCTTTTGGACGTTTGTTTGTTTGTTTGGGGAGGAGCAACTGGGAGAAACCATCATGTAACATCTCAACTAACAAATACCATTTGTAGAGGAAACTCCAGTTGGGGGGCCACCCTTTTGGACGTTAATTTGTAGGGAAGTAACTAAAACCATCATACAATATCTTAACCAACAAATACCATTTGTAGTGGCAATTGGAAGCCCAAACTCCGATTTCGCCAGAGTCGAGCGTGAAATCCACCAAAATGCCATGCACTGAAAGAGCAGGGTTGGAAAATGCTGCCAGCTTAGATCGATTGCTTCAATGTTCAAGATCCAGAAGCACCCCAACAACGAACCTCCTTTCACCCTGCCTTCAGTGCATGACACATGTGCGACTGGGTCCATTTTGGCAAGACACCCCTAAAAAAACTCTCTGCAGAACAGGCATGTGCGGTTCTCCTTTTGGCTTCCCTTGAAACCACAGGATGAAATGAGTAAGAAACACACACACACACACCCACGCCCCACCCACACCCACGCCCCATCCACACCCACCCACACCCACCCACCCACACCCACACCCACACACCCACACCCACACCCACCCACCCACCCACCCACACCCACATCACCCACCGGCACTACACCCACATCACCCACCGGCACCACACCCACCCACCCACACCCACACCCACCCACCCACACCCACATCACCCACCGGCACCACACCCACATCACCCACCGGCACCACACCCACCCACCCACACCCACACCCGCCCACCCCCACCCCCACCTACCCCCACCCGCCCACCCGCCACCCACCCACCCACCCACCCACCCACCCGCCCGCCCGCCCGCCCACCCATCCATCCATCCATCCACCCATCCACACACGCACGCACGCACGCACGCACGCACGCACGCACGCACGCACGCACGCACGCACGCACGCACGCACACACACACACACACACACACACACACACACACACACACACACACACACACACACACACACACACACACACACACACACGTGATTTAAAGGGCAACGCCTCCGAAAGCAAGTCTGAGAGGCCCTGACAACTCCTTGGGACATTTCGTGAGAAGCATCTCGCCTCTCGATGATCTCAAAGTTCGCCGCCGGAGCGGCCGCGGAATTGTGCCCAAGGCTCCCAAAGACAGGGCGACCGCCTGCACCACACCAAACCCGGCAATGAGGGCAACTTTTAAGGGACCAGAACAATTTGGGGAGTCCGTGATTCTGTGTGCCCACAAGCGGATTCTGGCGCCAACTGTGACAGGCCTTGCGGAATGCAACCTGCTTGGCGATTCTCAAGGAGAAGCTCGTGATTCTCCCCGGGACGGGCCCATCCAACTCTGCTTCTGCGTTTCATCTCCTTCGAGGAATCCCAATATTGCTTACAATGTTTGTCGCCAAAAGGCAAAACTTTAACTTAGAATGAGGCGGTGTCCCCTTTCAACCAACCTCACAAAGGCAACCACCCCGCTTTTGAACCCGGATCGAGCCTAGAATGATCAAGGACCACCTTGGCCACGTGCCAGGTGTCTCCAGCTTCGTCTGGTTTGAGGGTCCAATGATTTCAAGAGATCCAGCTGGACCGTTTTAGAGTTGGTACCCTTTTTGGTGTTGGTTCAAAGGAAAAAACAAAACCTATTTGAAGACACACCCATACGGGGCAATGTCCCAAAGGGTAGTTTCAGGACATATGTCCGAGGCTGCCGCAGTGCCGCGGCGCAAGACATCATAAATGCCGTCAACCCCGTCAACCGCTTGGTCTTCTTCGGCCACACCCACCAATGTGTGAGTCAACGGTCTGCTTGAGTGGCCTGAGGGAAAAGGGCTCATCTTTTTTTCAGCCCTAGCCCACATGGGTGGGGCTGATTTGAAGGGGAAGCAAAAGGCCATATAACCAATTTATGATTTTGAGGGGTCCCCTATTTGGAGACAGACTCGCGAATTCTGGCAGGTTCTCCATGGTTCACTCGTGGACGGCTCACTTGCATCTTTAGCTAAGCTTCCAGAGACCAGCTGAATGCATGCTCAAACCTCCAGTGGGCCAATGGCATCCTCTCGTTTCTCGGAATGGCGAACCTGTTGGGTGCCTAAAAACAGGAAAACCGCAACAACAATCCATGTGTCTGGCTCCCGATTTTCTTGAGGGTGTTAAAGGGAAGCCGAAAGGAGAAAAAACGATTGTGAGAAACACCGAAATTGATCTGACTAACAGATATCCGAGACTCTTCGGTCGCTGTCGTTTGCTTGTCCGAGCCGAGAACTTGAGCGAGCCGCGGGCGACATTTCCAAAGGTTGCCCTGTGATCTTGGCTAATCTATTTAGTAGGGGAACCCTCCCCCAAAAAAGGGTACAAGGGCACTACCGGGGGACCTAGTTGGTAGAAGAGACTGGACCCTCTGCCCTCAAGACCCCCCCCTCCACCGATTTTGGTGCAACATCTCCATTCCAAAGGCTCCTTTGAGGGCCGAGCCCGTTTGGTCAGCGTTTCGAGCTATCACGTGCAAGCCAAAAGGGATACGGCGGTACGGTGGACGGAGGAAATCCTGGCAAAGTGGGAAGCCACTTCGCGTTGGTAACTGGGGAATCATCGTTTTAGGGTTTCTTAGGTGGTGCGAAGCGGAACATCTCGCAACCATCCACAGTATCACCGAGCTGGGATCGACGAAATGCTGATCCATTGGCCGTGCGCAAACAAATGGCTCGAGCTGAACACTTGGAGCCCCAAGTCCCCCAAGGCCCAAAGGCCCCCAGACCGTACAGCTGTGGAAGGATCCCACTTGCCGGCAAAAAAAACACGCTTCCTTCAGGCTTCCGCTGTCAAATTCCGCGAGCCACGGTCGCTTTTCTTCACTCCCCAAGTAATCCGTCTGGGCAAAGTTGACCCGACACCAGGCAGCAGGCTTTCGGCTTTCCGTTTGCGGCCTTGTACCGCGTGAGTTGCGCGCCCGAGAGAAAACCTCCACCTGGACCTGGACCTTCCACCGGACATGTCTGCCGTCCATCGGCTCGCTTTCAACAGTAGCCGGTTTCCCCGGCCTCCTCCTCTTTAGACGGCATGGAACCTGCGCCAGGTCGTTTTTGTTTGACCTACTTGATCCGAACGTGCGCGTTGCGCCCGCAACGGCGAAGGCGAGCACAAGAACCTGCAAACGAGATGACAAGAAATTACTCAGCACCAGAAGAACCGGGTGCAAACTGTGTGTTCGAGCAGAAAAAGATGCGAGCAAACAAAGGTTATCAATGGAAGGTCCAGGGAGGAGTGCGAATAATTACATTCCTCACCGAAAGCTCCAAGGGTGCCAGACTCAACACCCGCAGAATACGTCTAGTTTCAGGGGTCTACTTGGATGTTCGGCTCGCCAAGTTAGCGCCTGTGGCTAGCCACTTGGGTTTGCTTAACCCCCTGTTAACAAGGTTAACCCCATTTATAAGGGATATATAATGGGTTATAACCTAGCTTGCCAATCACTTATTAGCTTGGCCGAACAACCAAGAGGGGAACCCTTCTAAATGATATTGTGGAAATAACCCTCTTTGTGGTTGGTGGTTGAAGGGAAACCACACCCAGTTGTTGCAAATGGCTTACCGCTTGGACGAACACCCCAGTAAGGCCACTTATTGGGGTGGTTGCAACCATCGCATTTTGGGTGCTTCCCTCAACAAAAACAACACCCAGGTAAAACAATATATGTGGTTGGGACTGTATCTCAAAAAAAAACATGCCGGGTGAGTCTGTCCTACCTAGCCTCGAAGCTTTCGGAGCTCGATTCGCCAAGTCCAGGCTTTCAAATTTGCCAAACCAGGGCCATCGCCGAGGGATCAAGGGACTTGGGCGATGGGATTTGGGACACCACTTATATAAGGGGTACCTGCACATATACGCGGTATATAAACATCCATACCTCCAAAACCAATCCCTGAAGATGCCCTTGAAGGGTGTTCCTTTTTTTGGAGGGCACCCGTTTTTGGCTGGCTGAAAGCCTGGTGATTCATTGAGGGCTGGACAATGAACAGAAACACACTTAGACTCCCTGCAAAACGTGAACTTCTGCTGTCTGAAAGGGGCAGTAAAGGAAACCAAAAGAGCAACAAGTTTTAAACGGTTCGTCAGGTCTGGCAAACGGAACATGACAATTTCCTGCATTTCACTTGCTTCGCCGGGACTTTCTGGTTGAGTCGAATCGAATAGTGCTAGCTCAGAAATTCGGCGCGAGTCGCGGGTCAGGGTACTGAATGTACTGAGCTTCTTGCTGGATCTCGGAGAATCCCCGGAATTTTGGGGTAATTTGCTCCAGGAAACCGCCATGGTTCAGTTCGATTCGGGTCATCTTGCTCATTGCCTGCCGGGGGTCATTGGATTTCCCCTTGAAGTTTTGCGATTTTAACTGGAGGTTTCCATCCAGCCTTTTTGGAGGGTCCAACGAGTGAAATTGAGGGACTGCCTGAGAGCCAGCAAGTGTTTGAACCCTCAAAAGAAGGCTCGACCATACAGCTTTCCACTCGAGCCAGGAGGGAAAGCGCATTCCCCAGATCCGTACCTCCGACTCATAAGCCGAACGAAGCAAAGGCCCAGGTCGAGCAACAAAGCTTTGCTCCCAGCCCGCGAGAAATATAAATGACCATCGAAAGAAACAAACACAACAAACATATGTTGTTGTTTTTTTAGGGACAAGTCGAAGGGATGCCTTTTGGGGTGGTGCGAGGTGGGTAAGGCAGGGAAGCAAATGTGCAAGATTGACACTGTATACCCGCTATGCCCGAACCTGGACGAATCCGCGAAAGTGGGACACTTTAACAGGCCAAAATCAAAAATAACAACTTACGCCAGCAGACTTTTGGGAACTTGACTTTGAGTCATCAGCTGGTACTAAAGTGGCATACCCAGAGCCATGTAAAGAATTAAGCGGGCGGCCACACCTATTTCTGGCTGGGACTGCCTTGCCCTTCTGATGGCTCATTTCAGAGCAATCCTTGCTTGGAGCGGTTTATGAATCAGAGGTAGTCATTCGTGAGAGTACGTCCCACTTCAGTGCGAAAGGCCAAACAAGCCCATGCATTGCATGGCGTTGGCGATTGAGCAACGGGGTTGAGCCAGCCCCTTTCGTTCAACATGACTAAACAACATGTGTAACAAAAGCTTGTCATTGTGGTGTCCCTTTAAAGGGGACTAGGGGCTGGCTTACACATTGCCCAACCCTGTTGAGCAAGGACCTAGGGGACTAAAAACTGGATACGCTGCGTAAGCTCGAAAGAGAAGACCATTGGCCCGAAATTCAGCCAAGAGGACTTGGAAAATCTTTCTTCGATCAAGTCGATTGAACAACACGAGCAACAGGCTGCCAGTTGCCACTTAGTTTACAGTGCTAAACTGGCAACCGATGGCCAGGAACATCACACCAGAGACCTCTATCTGGCAATCAACTCGCGCACGTGAGACGCAGAGACTAGCGTCCCCGGGGGCGAGGAAGAGACTTTGGCTATCTGGCTTCGAGTGCTTCGCGATATTCAGTGTCTAGTCCCAGCCTTGGCTCTAAGGGTTTTTGTATTACACCCTGGGAATACACCCACTTGGTATTGACCCCATTTAGGCACATTTCCGGATAAAACCGTGTTTTGAACCATTCTGGGTCATTTCCCAAGGGTGTAATCCCAGGTGAAATACAAAAACCCTCAGATTGGCGGCGAAGCGCTGTGGCGTTGCAGGCAATCGAAGTGGAGTAACGGCACTCAAAGTTCCGGACTACTTCTGGCTATGCGCATTTTGCAACATAAATAAATACATGGCTAAGTGAAAAATATTCAATATCACGGGGAGAGTTAGGTGGGGTTGATACACTAAGACAATCTGAAAAAAAGTGCATGAGGAACAGAACACCAAAACTCACTCGTTCGCGCGCTCTTCGAGTTCTGCAATCCTTCTCTGTTGAACTGTCTGAGGTCTATATGGCCGCAAAACAACAGGGCCCGGTCACTTCTCTTGATGAGTCATGTCGAAGGAATGCAGCTGGCGAAATGCTGTTTGGGTCAAGAAGGGCGATGCAGAGCAAAATGAAACCAAACGATCTGCCGGGTTCACAATGCCAAACCTGAATTCAGACACCTTGATGTTCCAGGACCCTAAAAAGCAGGCCTTTGGTTGCTTGTTTCAATCAAGAGCAAAATCAAGAAGGACACTGTTTTTGCGGGCCCTGGAAGACCAAGGACACGGATCCCAAATGATCCCAAAGCATCATGAAATGAATATTTCGTCGCCTCGCTGCTGCTTTTGTTGGTTCTGCCGAGTCGAGCCCCATAAATTCCCCATAGGTTTCGGCCCGAAACTGCCAGGGGTTTGTCCTGGGTGCCCACGGGGCACGGGCTCATTGCGCTAAGTCTTCTGAGCCTCGCGTCGATGGATCGGGCTGAGCGAACCTAGATCGGGCCATCTTGAATGGCCTGTAAACCAAAGAAGTGGACACCAGCTTCCAGGTCGGAAAAAACCGAGGGCCCCCATAACTTGCAACACCCTACCCCAACCCTTAGCCCCGAACAGGGCCTTTTGACGACATGGCAACTCGTACACGAGGTGCCGATCGCTGGCACCCAAAGGACCATCGCGTGTTTTGTTTTGTTTTGTTTTGTTTTTTGTTTTCTCCGCATCTAACACGGACTCATT